CCACCCCCGACATCCTTCCTTTATTTATTGTTGGTTCTGGACAACCAACACTCTGGTCATCTGAAAATGTGGGCTGTACCCATGAAAGCTCATGATATCATCTACATGTTTTGTTAGTCTTTAAAGCAGTGTTTCTTAAGCTGTGTTCCGTGGCACACCGGTGTGCCGCAAGGCAATCGGAGGTGTGCCGTGGAGAACAACAGAGTTCAAAATGGCCACCCTTAAGGGGACAAGTGACTTCCCCTTCCTCCTCCCCCAATTACTTTCCCCCAGACCCTATTTTTATTTTTTTGCTCAATGACTTTCCCCCGGCCTCTTTTTTTCCCCCCCTCAACAACGAGTCCTTGATGTTCCTCAAAAAAAAAAAAATATTGTTTGGTGTTCCTCCATCTTAAAAAGTTTAAGAAACACTGCTTTAAAGTGCTACCAGACTATTTATTGTTTTTGAAGTTTTTCCTGTTACGGACAAACTTGGCTACCCCTCTGAAACAATATAATCATGCCACTTTCAATTATTTTGGTAATTTATTTCAATACAGACAACAAAAGTGATTCTCTGAGGAACAGAGTTAAATAAATCCTCTACATCCACACAGTTCCTCACAGCAGGATCAAGGCCCTGAAGTAGGACAGATGGGGAGGAAGGCAGAGAACATAGTAGTTAGTTTAAAAAGTGGGGTCTGTCCCTGGTCTCTTCCAAGGGAGAGGTGAGGGAGTCCTCTACTGCTGTGAGGGCAATTGGATCATAATACCCATCTAAGAAAGAGCAGCAAGGAGTCCTGTGGCACCTTAGAGACTAACCAAAGTGTTGTAGCATAAGCTTTCGTGGGCAAAGACCCACTTCGTCAGATGCATGTAGTGGAAATATCCAGACGCAGGTATCTCTAGCCTGATTCTGGCCTGCATATTTATACCTGCGTCTGGAAATTTCCACTACATGCATCTACTAGTCTTTGCCCACAAAAGCTTATGCTACACCACTTTGGTTAGTCTATAAGGTACCACAGGACTCCTCCATGCTTTTTCGGATTCAGACTAACATGGCTACCCCTCTGATACTTAATACCCATCTAGTTGCTCCTAGTCCCCCAACCTTCTTCAGCTTCCCCTCCCTCAGGATCCTCTCCCCAGGGACTGTTTCCTCTCTGCTGCTCCTTCCATATTCATTGCCCCTTCCCTCAGGGCACAGCTCTATGTCTCCACTTCTCCCTTCCTCTGGAAATTGACTCTCCTTTGCTACTACACTGGTCACTAATGTAAATATCCATTTAAAATATTAACTGGTTAAACAATATAATTGTAATCGTTTAACCAGTAAACCCTGCAGCTGGGGTCAGGCCAGCCCACCGTGGGCCTGAGTCCTGCTGCTACTGCTCTAGCTGCTCCAGGGGGGCTGCTCTGGCCGGCCGAGGTCATGCTGCACAGGCCACAGTGGGTGGGGGTCTGCTCCCCCTCACCTGTCCCTCCAGTTAACTGGTTCCTGGGTAAGCATGCTGGTAAAAAGAGGAGAAGAAGGGATAAGACATCTATCATTTTGTGTGGAAAGACAGCATGACAAGATCAGGAAGAAAGGTCACAGTTCCCAATCCCTACATTCCATAGTTCCTTATATGCTCCTCTGGTTTTTCTCCCTCACCCCAGTACTCTCAACCTAGGGATTAGGGATGTAATAGTATAGTCGTTTAACCAATAAGCAAATGCTTATAGGTTAATCCTATAGACTACTTGCATTTCCTCTTCCTACCTCCCACCCACCAGCAAATGTTTTTAAGCAGGCTAGCCAGCATCACGGCTCAGACCCATCTTGCACCAGGTCCAGGACCTACCCCCGTTGTGGCTCTTTAAAGTGTATTAGAAGCCAAGCAGGCAGGCAGCCTGGCTCAGTTCCGGATCACACAGGGTCCGAGAGCTCAGATCCTCCCCTGAACAGGGGCTGCTGCCTCTGTATCAGAAGTGACAGTCAGTGAGCGGAGCTGTTTTTTTAAACTGGCTTCCCTCGTGGTCCAGCTCTGCCTGGCATCCCACAGCAGCAGCACAGAGTAGCAGGGGGGTCTTTGGGAGCCAGCCGCTCCCCTGCAGACTATAGAATGGTCAAGAAACTGATAAGAATCCATGAGGTTAATTGGCTATTCGATTAACCGATATTTAACATCCCCAGTAGGGATGTTAATTTTGATTAATCAGCTAATTGAGTAGTCGATGGAATTAGTTGATGGGGGGAGGAGAGAGGCACTTGCTATCCCCACTGCACCTCTGCCTTTTAAATGTAGTAATAGCAGCCCACAGCTCTTACTACATTTAGAAGACAAGAGGTGCAGTGTAGAGCCTGGGGCTAGCAGGCTAGCAGGGACTCAAACAGTCCTTGAGAGTGCTGGCCCCAACTGCTGTGCCTCTGCCCAGAGGGCTCTTATTACATTTAAATGGCAGAGGTACAACAACTGGGACCTAGTGCAAGTGGGAACTGCTTGAACCCCCGCTTTTGTTGTTTCCCCCCGCTGTGCCTCTTCTCCCTGCTGAGACGATGCTGGGTGAAAGGAAACTGGCTTTTAAGCCATCTCCTTCTATACCAGCTCCTGCCCGCCACTTGCTGCCTCTAATACAAAGGTAGTTGGGGGAGCAACTAGTCAAGTAGTGACTCCACTACCTGATAAGCTTAGACTTATCAGGTAGTAAACTAGTCGCTTACATACCTATCCCAATGCCCCTCTTGTTTAGGGTTGCCAGATGGTTTCAACAAAAATACCAGATACACTTAACATTACATCACAATCTGCATTACATCTTATTTAGAAAATACGGATTTATTTATATTTTCTCATTTCCCGAACAGAAAGCTCCAATATTGGACTGTCTGGTTCAAAACCAGCCACTTGGCAACCCTACTTTTGTTCCCTCCCATCCTAACTCCTCTAGACAATCCATAACCTCCAAATGCCTCCAATGAGCCTTAGCCCCTTGAATTCCCTCGAATCCTTTTGCCCCTTATAGTCACCCCAATGTTCCTAAAATAACCCCCTCCTTCAAAGCCCTCCACTGCCCTCTCTCATTCCTGTTCCTCTAGGTCTCCTTTGATTTCTCCTCCCCAAATCGCCCCTACACACCCGCCCACCAGGTACCAAACACTCACTCAGCTAAAATCCCTTCCTACCCTCGTGACGCCGCAACTTCCTAGTTTCCCTCATTAACCCCAATCCTCCCATGACTCTCCCATGCGCCCTTGTGCCTCTCCGGGCCCTCCCCCCGCGCCCTGCCCTCCCAGG